TGATACGTCTGCTTTCAGTTAGTCATTTGTTGCTAACAGGTTGAAAGTTCACGATTTACAGCAGAAACGAGCATGTCCACGGCTCCGATCGCTACTACAGTGGCGACATTTCATCATTCTATGGTTGAAACATTCAGCTTATTCCACTTAAAGTGGAAAACTACTTGACCAACACTGACACTGCACTTGCATGTAAACAAATATTCTGTTCAAGTAGTCATTTTCAGTGAAACTGTATAAGTACGTCAAGTGTTGAGCTGTAGTTTTTATCCTGAATGGAACAAACACAATGAATTAATGAAACACTGGAATGTAGAACAGCACAATGTGGTGCTGCGAGTCTGTGGAGCACCTTTTTTCCCCAGGTGTCTTCAGCCTCAGCTGCAGGCAGTGTGTGTGTGTGTGTGTGTGTGTGTGTNGTGTGTGTGTGTGTGTGTGTGTGTGTGTGTGTGTGTGTGCGCACGGAGGATCAGCTTGCTGAGGCACAGTGCTCCTGTAGTTGTGCAGAGATGGGAGTGATGCAGGCGAGATGAAATAGAGAAAGTGAGTCCAAGCAGAGGAGAGCTTTGGGCCTGAGAGGAACCCAGACACTTTGTTACACATCAAAGTAAAGATCCACTGATACAATCATCTCTTTAGGCTGTGAAAGCCCAACTTTATTAATTAGAACACGTCCGTTGAATCATCCTCTCATCTCTTCTCCCTTCCTGCTTTACTCATTTTTATCATCACTTACTGCAGTGACGGTGATTACGAAAGGGAAACGGGGGAGGGAGGGGGGCGCGGATGAACTCCCGGATAGGCTGCCACATCCATTTGTTGCTCACACATGCAGACAACAACAGGTGTGCTCGTTGCCACAGTTGAGCTAAATGTGAAATATTAAAAAGGAGTGAATAAGAGGACGAGGCGAGGATTTCAGAAAGAGCTGGGGGGGGGGGGCAGGAAGAGAGATGAGATTGAGGAGACAGACTGCGCTGTATAGATAAATAGAGAAAAGGGCCCATTGTGTCAGCAGCTGTCATCACTAAATAGCCCTCAGATCACTGTCAGACTGTATATCACACACACACACACACACGCACAAAATACTTCCACACACATTCTGACTGACAGCTCCCCCTCAGTCCAACATCTGGGCTGACAGCAGCCAGGGTAATGAGTCTCTGCATGTGCCAGCATGGGTGTGTCGCTTCTTATTCCTCCCTCTTTCCCCGTGTAGCGCTCATTTAATCATTTCACGTCTCTCTTATCTTGTTCTAAAACACCCCCTCCTCCCCTTTTTTTTGTGGTTATTTTCCGTCATCTTAATAGAAACATGCGCTAGATTGACTTCGCAGCACACGCCACATGACTAGCGACTAAATGAGAGTAACATCACGTGGAGTAAAGTTGAATGGTAGATTGATGCAGGAGTTTGTTTTTTTCGTTTTTCCGGAGTTGCCATCCAGGTGCACTGTATTTCACATAGAGGTGTGGAGCAACGCAGAGATGAAGAGATGATGAATGGCTCTCGTTAGAGGGGTAATTTGTCTCTCCTTGTCTGACTGGGCTCCAGCTGTCGCTCCATCCCTCGCTCCACTCCGCTCTCCTCGGCCTGCCACTCCTCACCTCAGCCAGATGGGTGGAAGGATGGACCGAGCGAGGAGGAGGAGAGGAGAGTCACCGACGAGTCATCAAGCAGAATTGTGTCTGATGTGTAACACCATCTCACGGCAAAGAATGGCCTCATGGAGAAAGAATAGATTATGCAAACCACATATTGTGTTGATTCAATGGACACGCACAACAGAGCTACAACAGGCAAAGCTCATACACTTGTATGATTCATCTAAGCAAGTCAAAGCCAGATGATGATAGTGTTCCTTTTTTTCCACTGTAATCCAATTACCAAGAGGCCGGGATGCCTGGTTCTTGCCCCCCCCCTACTCTTACTGTCGCACTAATCAACACTTGTGCAAGAGTAGATGTAGAAAGCGGGCGGCACAGACAGAAGGATTAAGAGATGTATACAGATGGCCGGGGAAAGCGGCTGAAGGATGGCAACGAGCAAATCATCAAGAGAACCACGTGAGCTCAATGCCAAGTCTTTGTTCTAATAACACAAAGCAATTTCCACTGACCTTTCCCGAAAAGTAGCGGGCAGAAATGACTGAGTTAAGGATGCCCCACAGCATAATTGCTAAGGAGATTAAAGTTCCCTTAATTGCTTTTGGCCAACTAGTGCAATTTTTCCTTTTTTGTAATTAAAGTGATTTAAAATATTAATAACTACATTCTCATACATACAACCATCTCACACGCACGGCTCGCGCAAACTGTATACGCACGTAATAAAAACAGCAATAAAACAATCTTAAAGGTGCAACTACACACACACACACACACACACACACTTTCTGTCACCTGCCGTCACTGATCATCTTATTAAAGGTCTTGCGAAATATGCAAATAACAAGATCCATCCGCTCCATCAACTGAAGTGATCCATTTATTCATTTAGAGCAATGGCTTTTTTTTTTCATGGGTCAATGGCCTCTTCCCTCTTTACCTCCCTTTTTTTCCTCCATTTTCCACTCCTCGGACCCCTCTTATTGTCTCCTTCTCTCCTAATTACCCTCCTCTATTGCTCTCTCCCTCGTTATTTATTGGCAATAAGTTTTTGACGGCTCATAGCTTCCTGACTGTCCTCTTTTCTCCATCCTCCCTCCACCTCTCACCTTCTCCTTCACCCTCCAATCCCCTGGTTACCCCCGTGACCTCGGTGTCTCTACTCCCCTCCTCCTTGTCCATCTCTCCCTGCCTCTCCTTGGTTTCCCTTCTGTCGGCCAGAATTGTTTGCTTTGCCATTGTTTATCCATTTTTCTTTGTTTGCCCTGATGAGATTGACCGGACGCACACACACACACACACAGATACCAGCACACATACCTAAACAGAAGACAAGGATGGCATCTCTCTGGGGTGTAGTTAACGTGGGGCCGTGGATCGATCGTAGCTCTGGTTTCCATGACGCAAAGCTCTAAGCTGGAGCAGTTTGGACAGCAGGACAGAGGCATCACTCTGCCTCTGTTTCCATCAAATGTTTTTCCATAAAGCCACATCGAGACCTGGATTAATGTGGAAATTTGTATCCATCATTAACGCTCTTCACATGTAAAAGTTGGGCAACAACCTTGCCCATCCACTTTGTGTTTCTTAAATGACGTCTGCATTGACCCTTCCCCCTCCCTGGTGCAAGCAGTATCGCCCAGGCCCCCCTTCTATCATTGCCTTTCAACATTTAGATTCCGGTAAGAAATCTGTGATGGGAAAGAAAATGCCGTCAAACTGCAATCACGCCACATCTGAATTCTGAACTGGGCTGTTGAGAGAAGGAGAAAACAAAATAAATACCATGATGATGAATGTGCATCTATCTGAAATTTTGCTTCAAAATTCCCACAGCTTTTCCTTCCTCTGCCTCCTCTGTTCATCTCCGTTTTTAGAAGTATGACTAAAGTTGAAGTCCCTCACTGAAAGGCTTAAAGCATTGTAACTTTAAAAAAATTATAATTCAGGTGAAGTTTTCAGCGGCGAAATAAGGAATGGATGAAGGTTGTAAAACTATAGACGAACAAGCTTATTTTATTTTTTATCCTCCTCCTCACATTTCAGCTTCGGAAGGTGAATGACAAGTTCTGACTGTGGAAAATGGGTTAGAAAAAATAAAAGGTGTATTGGTAAAGCTGTTTAAAAGAAACTTGGCTGGCTGGAGCCCAGGGCTGTCATTTTAAATGTGGAAACTGGAAGTAGAAAATAAGTGATTATCCGTGTGTCAAAGCGTATTCGGTTGACTTTCTAATTAGGAGTCGTAATAACCTGAGTCCTTCAGTGGATTGGCTGGACTCAGTGGCCTCATTCTCACCATATTGTTGATTGATTGAGCTGCAAATATGGAAGGCGTAATTATTCTATATTTTGAGCCGTCTCTAAATAGAAATTATTAGATTTGTCTTTGTCCTTGATTCCAAACCTTTGGAGAGTAGAGTGAAATCTCTCCATCCCTCTCTTCTTCTTCTCTCTGGTGAATGGGACAGCCTGATTGTGTCCACACATCCCAGGGCTCCTACTATTTAAAGACTTGGCTGTTAACTTTCTTTTGTCTCACCCATGTAGAGGACAATCATACAATTGATGTAGGCGCTCTTATCACAACTCTATGAGGATTTAATCGACTGAAATACTAAAAAGTTTGACAGTTGCGGTCTTTATTTGGTCTGAGGTGACCAATATGTTATGTTGGCAACATTTAAATGTAGACAGAAATTCAGTTCATGGACTTTATAACACTTTTTTTACTTGTGTTAATGTTTACGTACATTTTATCATTCAGCATTATCTTGAAATTGTCACCTGTAGCTTATCTCAGTTTATTTCATGTCTCTACAGTGGCTGAGATTGTCATTATTACTGCCAATGATTTGGGTTTGGTTTTTAATTGAGGATTAGATAATTAGAGTTAGATTTTTAGATAATTAGATTTTTCAATTGTTTCATTTTTCATTTAGATTTCTCATTCATGTATTTGCTGTATGTTGCTGAGTGAATTTGAATCTCGCCAGAGTCTCAGAGCTTTTTGTGTTCGTATCCAAGCTGCTGTACGTTGCTGTTACCAGGCTGCTGTTCCAAAAAGCAAGTTCACTTATCTTTATAACCTGCAGCATCTGGTCTTTTTATATAAATCCACATTTCCATGCAATTATAAATGTGTGGTACAACTATATTAAAAATGAAAACACATTTTCCCATTAACATCAGATTCTTTGTAAAACTAATAAATGTGTTTGTTTTTTTACATTGTTACATAGCAACACAATATTCTAGTTAGTTTGGATATAAATACACAAACAGACTTGTTAACATCCATCAAAATTACTTTTTTTTTTCAATAATATTTGGGGACAGTGAAATGTCCCTGGAATCAAATTAAACCCAAACTTTATGATGGTTGAGAGAATATGTTTGAATGTAAGTTGGGTGCCTCGACCCTTTCAGAGACTCAGTGTCTCAGTGAACATTCTTCTTGGAACCAGCCCCTGCATCACTGTCAGTCATGGCCATCTGTTTTGTCTAACGCCTCCCCCCCTCCCTTCCTCCCTCTCTCTCTCTCCCTCCATTCTCCAGGTCGCCCACTCCCTCCGACCTCTTCCTCCTCCCTGCTCCCTCCATCCCTCCCGTCCTCCTCGTCCGCCCCCCACCACCCATCTCCCGGCCCCTGTCCACCCATCAGGGAGTGCCAGGTGCCCCTGCTGGAGAAAAACTCCACCCACTCCCACCTGGAGCCCCACCCGGACGACTCGTACCTGCTCCGAGGCCAGCCCTCGTCCACAGGTAAGCGAGAGACCATTTCCACTCATCCACCCCTTTTATCCTGTCATTCATTTTATGTTTGCATCATTGTGTCATCCATCATCGCATTGCATTACCCCATCATGTGTCCATTTCCTGATCTGATTTAGTCTCTGCTCACTAAAATGCCAAGAAATCCTTTGCTTTTATATAATGTCACATCTTGTTTGTTAAGCCATTTTGTTTCTGCCTCTATTTTGTGTTGCATTCCTCCAAAGTCAGGATTGCTTTTAAGGGCAGGGAAGTGAAACAACTAAAACAAAAATATTTTGTTTTTGAGGGAATAAATCATTTGATTGTGATCAGACACACATTTTAACAGTGAATAATAATTATATGTAGAATAAATGTGTAATTTCATGAATTTTTATGCATCTCACGTTAGGAAAAGTTGGCTTGAAGCAGCCTATTGGTGATTTTGTTAATGGATTACACTCTCAGTGTAACCCTCCCACCTTTGTCAACTATTGCCAGAAAACAATGATGCAAGTGAAAGCCACCCCTACACTCTGCAGTGCGCACAATGGTTGACAGTGAGTAGGTGTGTTTGTGTTCATTTTCCATATGACATTAATAATCCAGCGGAAAGTGAAAGGTAAGGGGATAATGAATTTTAAGTGCCAGCAGGAGGATCAGCGTAGCAAAGACAAACTAGTTAGTTTCCTTGGCTCTGAGCTTCCTCTTTCATCATTGGACGCTCTCCTGTTGGCTGTTAGAGGCCCGGTGTGCTTATATCAGCACCTCACAACTATTCTCCTTGCCCATATGCACGCTAACACACACGTAAACACACGCATCTGCGGTGATGAGTTTATACATCAGCGTACACATTTGTTCTCAACAATTAGCTACTGTGGGCCAACTCTCTCTGCATCTACCTCTCTGCCTCTCCTTCCCGCTCCTCTGCTGTTTCTCTTCATTCCTCTGTGCATCTGCACTTGTAATCAGCAGATATATTTAGCAGAGTCCTGATGGGAGGGAGTGGGGTGGGCAGAGAAGTCCTAATGTGATTTTTGGTGGAATACAATCTATTGTTAATGGCGTTAGGCTCTCCTTTGATCCAGTATAAATCTTCATTAGGGAAGGCCCGGGTCCCAGGTTCAAGAGCAACGTGATTAGGAGGCTTTTAAAATGACGTTACATCAGCCTCCTAATTGGTTTACTCTTTGCTGGGGCAACATCAATCATTAGCCCAGTAACCACACAGCAAATAAATTCACTCTGCCACTGACACCCTAATGGCAGACACTGGCAAAGAGGGAGAATGAGGCTCACAGGCGCACGCTCTCTTTCTCTCATTCCTGTTCACGTATACACCCACACTTTCTGTTCCGGGGTTTCTTTCAGTCTCTGCTGCATATGTACACACAGAGACGGCGAGTGAGAGAGACAAAGAAAGAAAAAAAAACGACAGCGAGGCAGAGAGAGGCGCAAAGAGGCAAATGGGTTGCACAGATAGAGAAAGCCAAACTTTGACTTTTGAAGTTGTTTAATGAGATATCTTGCATAAAAAATCAAAAAGGAGTAAAAAAAAAAAAAGCCGGATCCAAAGCACACCATGCAATGAAAATAGATAGAAACCGTCTGATAAGGGAGACCAAGAGACGTAGGGCGTCAAAGAGACAAGAAACAAAACAAAAAACGGGGTAAAGCTGATGAGAGCTTGGGGGGTGAAAGAGAGATATTTGGATGGAGGGAAAACAACATTGAGACAGAATTGCAAATTGCCACATTTTCCAGCCAGGACTGCTGATCTAATGGGTACAGAGGGAGTCCTTGGCTTTGGGCGTCCATTAAAATCGACCTAAATGAGTTTAAAGTGGCAGACTGGCAGTTCATGAGCACATCCTGGCATGAAGGAAGACAGAGGAACGGCTGCAAGCAAATAAAACACCTATAACCGACAACCCTTTCTGCATGTGCTGTGAGTGTGCACGCCTGTGTGTGTGTGTGTGCGTGTGTGTAGGTGTTTTGAGTGGTCATGTCGAGAGTGGACGCTGGGCAGGAAATGAGTCTTAGCAAGTCAGGCAGAAACTGACCACAGCGAGATAATCCTCAGGAAGCTGCATGCTGTTTGTTTGTACGTGTGTTTGCAAGAGAGAATGTGTGTTCTTGTAAAGTAGTCCACCATTACCTAAGTTACCAGGTGGACAGACATGACTTGTGTTCCTAGTGAAGCATGACAGGTGAACGGGAACGGAACGCTGTTGCCGAGGATTGGCTGGGAATTGGGTGTGCGTATGTTTACGTGGGAATACTGTCTGGCTCGGAGCACCTGTCTGGGAAAGCTCCTCCGGAACGACAGGAGAGCTGAGACGGCCAAACGAAGCGTGGCAGATCACTCCTGGAAAGAGCTAGCATTAGCGCAGTCTCTGGCCATTCATTATGCATGGGGAATGCTACGCTATTTTTAGCCCGAGAGCCTCTTCTAAAGTGGCTGGCTATCTGCTGCCAGGGAAGCCACGTCAAGTCACTGCCGAAACAATGGATGTTTAATGGCTTTGTTGAAACAAATCTACAGAAACAAAGGCACAAAGATTCTTTGGCGCTCATTTTATGTCTCCTAATGGTGCTTATGTAAGGGTTACATTTGCATAACAGTGGGATGATATGTGTGTTTGTGCATGTGGGTGAAATGCACACATGCATTTTGCTTATGGAGACTGTTTGTTTTTGGCTGAATCTGAAGACTCTTCTCTGGCGGATTATTGCCTCCTAATTAGACAGAGATGACTAGCCAAGGCAGAGGCGGTGTGTGTGTGTGTGTGTGTGTGTGTGTGTGTGTGTGTGTGT